AAGTACGAAAAAGGCACAATTTTCCGAACTTTGAGGCTCCATAAATACAACAAAGTGAATATGTATCCTCGCGAATATGTATCCTGTGAGGATTTTGCGAGCATAATGCGAGAATCCATGAAAGCATGATTCCATTATTTCGCGAGCATAATCCGCCGGAGCCTAGTACTACCCGGTTGGTTTGAACTCCTACACCAGACACTGGTATGATGTTCTTCGCAGCATTGTAGCTGTGGAGGATGTGATTGTGGATTCGTCTAATCACAGTGGATTTTCGTGTGCGGTGGGGCAGTCTCTCCAGGCTTCCTGCCTTTTCCTTTCCTTCTCAGCTTCTTTCCTTCCATATTCGTCTTCTTCATATTGGGCCCGGTTCCAGTCTACTGCGTAAGGTCAATAATATTATGAACTAGCACAACCAAAATTAACTTTAATACCCAAATAGACAAACAAAACCTATCCTAGCAATACATGTATGCTAACAATGTTCGAATAATATAGCTCCGAAATATCACAGTACTGCTTTTCATAACTGCTGCAGTAATAATAATTAACATCTTTTTTAAATACCAACAAAATTCCTCTCTTAACGTAGTGCGTGGATCTGCATCCACCTGCCACCATTTTACTGGATTATTCTCAAAACGGAGTCGACAATGCCCTTTATCCTGTGTCTGCGTCCTCTGTTCTATCTGAGCAATGCTGTCATGTGCCCCTTAGCAGGTACGTCTTGTATTGTATTTCTATTTCTGTTGTCGTTGCTCTTTTTATTTTTATTTTTATTTTTTCATTTCCCAATTCCCAAGTCCATTCAGCACGTGCGAATTTGTGGGCGGTTTACCACCGCTGACATTGACGCGTAAGTGCATAATAATAATAATAATAATAACAATGTTCGGGGAGACATTACTTTTATTAGTGCTATGAATACAATGAAGGCCTCAGACATCACCACACGTATTCTACATTTATTCTACATGTACATGTACCGGTACATGTACATGTGCATGTATCTCCATCAAAGTACTCGGCGTCACGTTTGACCATCAGCTAAAATTCAGCCAGCATATCCGAACTGTTGTAGTCCGAGCAACGCAGAGACTTGGAGCCTTGCGCAAGGCATTTCACTTGCTGACTATTCCTGCCCGGCTTCGAGCCTACAAAGCCTTTGTCCGGCCGGTTATGGAGTACTGCCCAATCGTCTGGATGGGGGCAGCTCCTTCCCACTTGAATCGGCTGGACGCCATCAAGGCAATACATCCGCAATGCTGGCTTCCTAGCCTCATAATTCGCCGCACCATCGCTGCCCTCTGCCTCCTGTATAAAGCCCTTTGCGATAATTCTCCCGCTCTTCTCTCGAGAATGGCTCCACCCCCGACACACCAACCCAGGACCACACGCCTCACCCGCCAGGCTGTACGACTGTCCACCGCGCATCCCCATCAGTTACAGAATGTTCTTCCTGCCAATTCCCGGAACAATGTGAGCCGAGCCTTTCCCCACTCCGTCATCCCAATTTGGAACCAGCTGCCTACCTCCATCATTCCCCACCCATTTCACCCAAAGAACATCCAAAAGTTCAAGACAGCAGCTTATCACCATCTCCGCAGAACGAACTGGCACTGGGCCACTCATAGAATACGCGAGTAAGAGGGTACAGTGTCCTACCCTGCTTGGACATACATGTAATCTCTCCTCACGGACAGTCTCCTCTTGAATTTAAAAGTCTAACAGCGTTCACATCAATATTCAACTTATTCTTTTGCTCACTGAGCAATACAATCTTTCCATTTTCTTTCTTCTGTTTTCTTTTTCAATTTAATCCTCCCCACCCAATATCCCTTTGGTGCGTCCATGGAGCTATGAAGCCGAGACCTCTGGTCGGCGGAGCTTAATGGGCCCCACCACCACACTCCATCATTCACCCCAGTGTCTGGAGATATGTGGATTTTGTAGAAGAAAAAAAAACAAAAAATACATTCCAAACAAGTAACTTACTACTGAAGTACATGTAGTAGTTGTGTGGTAATGTCTGTGACCTTCATTTTATTCTTAGGCCTGTGGGAATGTCGTATTAAAAAATTAATAAATAATAATAAAAATTCTTTGAAACTCGGATGTTGAGCCATAAATAAAATTATTGTAGAAGAGAAAAGGACATACGAGTTAAGAGTAACTCTCCATCACTGTAACATGATACTATGTACAGTCAGAAAGTGCAATAACTAGGCACAAAACTGACAGAGTACTGAGACATTCGACGTCCTGAGTGTCCTGACGTCCTGAATGTCTCAGTACTCTGTCAGTTTTGTGCCTAGTTATTGCACTTTCTGACTGTACATAGTATCATGTTACAGTGATGGAGAGTTACTCTTAACTCGTATCCATATGTCCTTTTCTCTTCTACAATAATTATTTGCTCTAAATGAGACGTGATGCTCTTCAGGCGCAATCTTCCTCAGCCTACCCAAGCTCAACTGATGAAGGGTGAATTCCGAGGTTCGTTACACCAGAAATGCACTCACACTACAAGTACAACGTTGCAAGCAGCAACTACTTGGTTTACATGCAGCCTTACAAGATTTGGTTCGTTATAAACGAAACTGCTCGCTGCAGTTGGGTCAAGGGGGGGGGGGGGGGTGGAAGGTCACTAAAGACTCATTGTCATTCTCCTGATAATGATGTTTTTTTATTATTCTTTATTTCCACGATGGCCCATGGACAATATGGAAGATAATATGATTCAAATCAGTCCAGAATCATATAAAATCAGTCTAGCAAGTAAGGAAACCAACACATTGCAGGGGGATGGGGTTACGATGGGGCACAGTGTGAGCTACTACAGGAGCATATGGATGATAGAATGAGGCTAGACGCCATTGATTTAAACGCATGCTTGCTATTTGTTTCACGCAGGTCGGGGGGGGGGGTAGTTGGTTGAAATTGTGAAGGGACAGGTTGATGGGTGAGTTGGTGTGTCGGTATGTGTGTGATGTTCTCAATGTGTATGTTCTCATGTGTCGTAGTGCATTATGGCTGCTCTGTGATTGGTCGTGCAAGATGAGGCTGTTGCAGGTGAAGGGGAGCGCGGATGTACTTGATGTTGTGGGCAAGAGTAACCTGTCGTAAGAGTTGCCGGGAGACTAATGGGGGGAGTTGGAGATGATGAATAAGTGAGCTGTGATGGACTGGTGCAAAAAGGGGGATCCCCAAGCAGATACGGGCTGCTCGTCGCTGAACGCGTTCTAATTGGTCCTTCTGTGTGCGGGTGGTGTTGGATAACACGAGACTGCCGTACTTTATAACCGGGCGAATGTAGGCGGTGTAGATTACGAGCAGACTGGGGGTGTTAAGTTGGCCTCGTGTTTTACGAAGTTGGTGAAGGAGTTTTTTGGATTTGTTTATTATGTGCGTGACATGTGAGTTCCATTGGAGGTTGTTTTGTAGTATGATTCCAAGGTGACGGTGTTCGTTGACTTGCTTTAGGGGTGTGCCGTTAAGAGTGATGTTGAGTTGGTGGTTTGGTGTGAACGACAAGGTAACGGTCTTTGAGGCATTGACGAGGAGGTGCCATCTGCGCAGCCAGGTTGCGGCAGCTGAAACGGCTGACTGCAGGGACAACTCCGATGTCAAGCGGCTCTGGTGTATTGCGATGAGCGCCGTGTCATCTGCAAATTGGCTGCACTTTGTGTTCGAGTTGGTGCAGGCAGAGGGCAGGTCAATGGTGTAGACCAAGAACAGCAGGGGGCCTAGAACGGATCCTTGGGGCACCCCTGTGGTATGGCTTGCCACTCACTGAAGGCGTCGCCGACACGAACACGTTGACGGCGATGGGTGAGGTAGTTGACCATCCATTGCAGGGCGGTATCCTTCAGGCCGAGGTGTTGCAGTTTCTTGAGGAGACCGGCGTGCCAGACTCTGTCGAAAGCCTTCGAGAGATCAAAAAAGCAAGCTGTGACGGAAAGACCTTTATCTCGGCTCTCGGAAACCTCGTGCACGAGTCTGGCGAGCTGGAGTTCGGTGCTATCATTGGCACGAAAACCGGATTGATCCACTGGGAGGAAGGGTGTGACGTGCTTGTAGAGTCGTTTGTGGACGATCCTCTCCTGCACTTTACTGATACCGCTGAGAAGTGATATGGGCCTGTAGTTTGTTACCAATGACCGTTTGGATTTCTTGTATAGTGGGCTCACGGTGGCATCACGCCAGTTCTGTGGTCGTTCACCTCTCCGAAATGATGGTTGTGTCGTGAAACTCGCAGCATACATGTATAGTGAAACCTGTCTAAGACGACCGCTCAAGGGACCTTCAAAATCTGGTCTCTGTTACCAGGTGGTCTCCTTATCCAGGGTCATTTGATTGGAAATAGCATCCCTTGGTCCTGGTTCCAGTGGCCTTCTGGGACAGGTGGTCGCCTTATCCGAGTGGCCGCCTTGACAGGTTTTACTGTACATGTTATGCACTAACAGTTAGTACAATCAGTCATGTACATGTACATGTAGCTGCCAAATCAGTTACCTTTGCAAACCTGAGACCTGGACAATGACATACTGTACCTACTACCTAGGCATGAAAATGTATACGAAGCAAATGTAGCTGTGAGCTGATGAGGCTAGGCATGCAGCAAATGCATGTAGCCAAGTTTTGGGTGCCGATTACTACCCTGGTCCTGGATATGGGGATGGTCCAGGCCAAATCGTGGTAGTTGGCAGGTATCAAGAGTACAGGCATTCTTGGGGGTTATGTACTCTTGCAGGTATGCATGCATGACTGTTACGCCTGGAGCAGGTTCAACCTGCCCATTCCTTTTAATTTCTCCATTTGTTTGTTTATTTTATTTTACTTCACCAAGTGAACAGGCATTTCTGCCTTCTCACCAGGTCCGGAGACCTGGTTCTTGTAGTTGATGTAAGTAGTTGACAGTATAACGCTACAAGAGCACAATATCAAGAAGAACTGAATGAATATGTTCTAGTGCAACGAATCACAAGTACGTCACGTCATGATTTTCAAGGGCTATGAATTACGTCATGATCATAATGATTTCTTTATGTGGTATAATTATATGAACTATTAAGATAAATTAAATTAATATGTCATGACTTGTGATGAATTTCAATTTGTCCAAATTAAGTCATGATGATGGATTTACTGTGTCTTGAATTACATGTACTTCGTGACAAACTGCCCGAGTGGAATGAAATAGAAATACGTCATCTGATAGATTTCAAGTGCTACGGAATATGCCAAGAACTATGACCAACGTCACGTGACAAAACTTCAAGGACTATGGCCAACATCATGTGACTTGTGGTGCAATAAGCCCATTGCATATTGCCAAATACGGAATGCATGAGTATTGAGTAATGAATGCATGACGTGAGAAGGCTGCGATCAGGGATGCACTGTTCAACACCCCAGACGACCCTGCCCAGTTGCCTGTGTGGAGTGTTTGCGGTACAGATCACGTCATTGCGCAATGGGCTAACGAGGTTAACGGAAAAGAATACGCTCGTGAGTACAATGCTAGCTATCTCGAGTCGTTCTGCACGCACCCAGTGATCTCTGAATCCTGACAACATCGCTGGCCGAGGGTGCCGCGTCGGATGACGCACTCGAGCGGCGCTGGGACCGAGCGCCATCATCGCCGAGGTCACCGTCGAAAAACCGATCCAGGCGGCCACCACCGGGTGCAGCGGGATCGGGCGCCGCCTCTGCTCTGGCATCGTGACGCACAAGCTCACTATCTCTTAAGTCCGCACGCGCTGTTGCAGCGACACCGAGAGAAACACTTGCCGGCGAGCTGAAGCTCGTCTCTTCCTGTAGTGCTGCAGAAGTGTTCAACACATCACTAGAGGCAGTAGCAACACGCATACTGGAATACGCTGGTGGCACGGCCAGTGCGGCGGGCGAGCGGATGCGTGAGCTGCCAAGCAGCCGGCGGTCGTGCGCGGAAACGGCCGAAGCGCTCGCCATGGCAGCGGAGTCACCACCGTCATGATCGCTATCGGACGACAAGGAAGAACCCATGCTGCTGGAGTCATCGCAGTTGTCATCATCGGCATTACCGTCAACACCCGCGGCACCACCGGGTGCTCCATTCTCGCCGTGCAAGGAGTGCCCCGCGGACACTGGCAGCCACCAGTGACGTCGCTGTCGTCGTCGTCGTCGCCAGCGCACCAGCGCTCGACGAAAGCGGCGCCTCATGCGCGGCGACACCAGGTGGAACTCGGGCGGCGGCGGCATCTCCGCGTCGTCTCCGTTGCCCCTGGCGACGGCGGCCGCCCAGCGTCGTCGCTGGCGCTCGCGTCGCCGCCCGTCATCGGTGCAGCACTGGGCGAAGAGAGCGACGCCGATCACCACCAGCAGACCTACGGCCACGATCAGACCCAGCATGATGCCAAACATATGATCCTCTCCTGCACACATACACGTACGTCGTCGCATACAACACGAAATGAGACAGAACACAGACGCACGATGATGATGCACGATGCATTGATGTGAAGTGAAACTCCGTTAACTAAAAACACTAAATGAGAGACAATTTTTTTCACGGTTCGCGTGAGACTCGGTTTATCTATATAGAAGCCGAGTTTTCCGCACCCGTAGGAACGCCACCACCCTTCAAGGATCAAGGCGCAGATGCAGCTCCTAAAGCGGTGCGAGGTGAGTAGATCAGCTCACCAGAATATGGTCAAAGACCGAAAATCCCATTCACTGGATCCATGTTTGAGAGACAAGACAGAAAAAAAACACCGATGCAGAATGCGTTCACATGCAGTGAAACTTAGCTACGAAGTGTACGTGTACATGTATATGTGTGTGTGTGTGGGCGCGCGTGGGCGGGCACGTGTGTATGTGTGTGTAACCGTTAGGACCTTATACACCCACCATATCTATTTATCGGTCTGGGGAACGGGTCGCCAGTGGGCGTCGTTATCGCCTGCTCATCGGAACGTGCTTGACCGTGTGCACACGCAACACCGTGCAACACCAGCACGAGCAGTGTCAGTCTGTCGGCACAGCGGGTGCCCTGAGGTGTTGCACGACCACGCAGGCATGCGCGAGACGGCTGATGTGCGCGTGCTGCTTGCAAACCTGTCCACGCAGCACCCCACACGGGCCTGAGCAAGCCACACTGATTACTGACACTGGTACTGGCAGCGGAATACTTGCCGCTGTCGCTGTGGTTACGGCAAATACTAGCCAATCTCCTCCTGGTGTAGCTGACGTCTCTGCTGATGCTGTGGACGTCGCTGCTGCTGTTCCTGGTGCTGATGGCGCTACTGCTCGTTCTGCCGAGGCTGCCATGACATGTACTGTTGCCGTTGTTGCTGCTACTTCTGGTATTACATGTAATGCTGCTGGAGTTATTGCTGCTGGAGTTATTGCTGCTGGAGTTATTGCTGCAGCTGCGAGTGCTGCTGCTGCTGCTGCTGCTGGAGTTATTGCTGCTGCTGCGAGTGCTGGTGTTATTGCTGGAGATAGCAGTGACATTGGGTATATTATTATTGCCAATATTGGCAGAACTGATGCAGCTGATGCTGCCTCCGTTTCCAGTGCTGCCAGATTTACTCCTGCTCCTTGTTGCGCTCCGTCTGGCTTTGCATGTGTTAGCGTTGAAGGCTCGCGGGCAGCGTGCAAAGCAGCTCGCTGTCGTCCTGTTCCTACCGTTAGCTGCCAGCTGCACATCCGCCCGTGACTTCCCTGCCTCTGGCGTGCACCACGATTCGGTGGGCTGCAGCCACTTGCGTCCGTCAAACTTCATCTCCCTCACAAGTTTCATCTTCAGGACATCATGGCACTCAGAATCAGGCTAATGTTTCTGCTGGGTCCATCGCCACATTACAATCACCATCTCTTGGCGGCCACGGCTCGCATTATTTTTGAAACCGCCTTGCCAGCACAGTACGGGCTCGTCGGTGATGCGTCCTCATCTGACACTACAAGCCGCTACTGTGATAAGAATAAACGTATAAAATCTCACTCACGTTGAAAATCGGACTATCACACAAGCTAGCTAGCTGCAGAGGAGCGACTCACAGCGCAGCGACAACGGACTACCGCTCACAGCGACGTGCACGAGCTAGGCGCTCAGACTGTTTCAGCATTCAAAACGTCTGAATGATTGTCAGTTTGTCTTTGGCCCTTTAGTTTGGGTTCCTAATCCTCGCGCGATCGCGGATGTCATGCTACCTTTTTTGTCTTTGATTCATTCAGCTCAGCTCAGAGGTTCTATGACTATGAGTATGAGTATGACGCAGCTGGCTAGCCTACATTCACAAGTACAATACTCAATAGCTACATAGTAGCTACACTACAGACAGCACATGACTGTAATGATTATGTGCACAGCTGTGCTTGACCAGTGTTGACTGAGATCAGAGAAAGAAAAAAATTAAAAATGGCCCGGACTCGGAGAAGACCTACAAGTACAACAGACTCAGTAACAGTTGAGTGTAGATCTACACCATGTAGATCTACCAGGCGTAGGTCTACTGCCTACACCACTGTCTGTACATACACTGCACCGGACTGTACCTGTCCTAGATCCTGTTATGTGTTACTACACTGTAGTGTAGTGTTATTTAGCGCCGGGCGTAATCATGGTAATCATGGCAATGCGGCCCATGCGGCCATAGCATCGCACACACTGAGTGCGTTCGATTACACACTCGAATCGATTCCTGAATCGATTCATGAATCGATTCGCGTTATTCACATCACCCCATGTGAATAGGGGGAATGGATTCCGAATCGATTCCAGGGCTCCAGACATGAAATCGAACGACTTGAATGCATGCGAATGGATTCATGAATCGATTCAAGTGCATAATCGAACGCAGCCACTGAGTAGACTGCACGAACGCGGCGGCCCGGCGCTACTCCTTTTGCCGTTTTGGCCAGAACTTCACTTCAGGCAGAAGGCCGAACTCTCTCCACTCCAGCCCTGTACAGTCAACTACTGAGTACACGACACTCCGAAAGGTGTCCTTATTCGCGAAGTGTCGTTATAACACAGTCAGACCTTGCTTATCCGGTCCTCTTTTCAGGATCCGTCGCCATCAGGAGGAAATCGCCGGTTACCGATTTACAGCGTATGTCATGCATACATTGTACATGTACTTACAAATTATCACGCTCCTCGGCTTTCGCCTTGTTGAGCACTCTCAGAAGGCTGCTCTAGTGCTGCTGGTAACTCGGCCTATTTAGCTCGTAGCTGTACTGATGAGGCCTTTATGGCCGAAACAGCTTGCTGTCTACAGCATTGGGTACTTACAAATTACAATGATACAGTATCATGATGTGTGTTCGATTATCCGGTTCCCTCGCCTATCCGGATATTTTTGTGGAAAACGAATGTGTGCGGCTAAGCAAGGTCTGACTGTACCCGAAGTCTCATTATGTATTACAGATACATGTACATGGGACTTTGCTCTGGCCTCTGGGCACGGAAATTCTGTCGTTATTTGGAATTTTCTCTTAAGATTGCAATGCTTCACACTCTCATGTAATATTTCTCTCCTTTCTTCGTCTTTTTGTGAGAGCTTGGACAATCCACTTGTCCAGGCAAGAATAGCCATTGGTGGACTATGCTCGGCCAATCGTCAAATTATGCTTTTGATTATGCCACAATTATGCCAACAAATATGCTGAATTATGCTGAATTATGCTCGGTTCCACTATGTGTTCACTAGGCCTCGACCAAATATGCTTGCGCATATTTCCGCATATTTTGTGAGACAGTTCACATCATGGCATATTGAGCGACAAAGGGAATATTGGAATGAAGCCAGCATATAATTCAAATATTCTGAAGAAAACGAGGACAAAACATTTATTATGGACAAAATGAGTTCAGAAATGCCTTTTTAATATGGATGGATTTGGAATGGTTGAGGCGTTTGCTACATTTCCTCACGGATGAACACTATCGCTACGGTTGCTGGGGACACACCCCAGCCATACTATTCCGGATGTGCTTTGATTTGCACCATAAGCATGATAGCCGTGAAGCCAATGAATATTCCAAGGTTGTAATTTTACTGAAATGATCTACACTTTCTGCTTATGTCGAGCATATTTTGGCATATTTTGGCATATCCTTTTGCATGTCTTGCTAAGCCTTTGGCATATTATGGACGTTTTCCCTGATATGTGACGAGCACAATTATGCTCTTTTTTAAGCATATTTGGTCGAGGCCTATTGTAGTGTTCACGCTGTACATAGAGGATTGAGAAACCACGCATACACACACGGCCATGCCCTAAGCATAATTTTTTGTCTAAACCGAAAGATTATGCCGACCTTACACGTTGGAATCCGTATATTATGCCGGAGCTTAATTGTTTGACGAAATCCCAAGATTATGCCAAATATTATGCCGGCATAATCCGCCAAGGGCTATGACAAGGAGTCGTAACTGGGGTATTAAAAAAAACAACATCTGCAGGCTTTCTGACAAAGCTGTATGCCCCTAAGCATAATTTTTGTCTAAACCGAAAGATTATGCCGACCTTACACATTAGAATCCGTATATTATGCCGGAGCATAATTTTTTGACGAAATCCCAAGATTATGCCGGCATAATCCGCCAAGGGCAAGGCAAGAAGGCAGCAATGCCTGTTCATTCTGGCGAAGTAAAATCAAATATACCAACCAGCCAACCATTAATTTTGTGGATTGTCGTTACATCCGCAGTCGTTATTCGCGAAGTGACTGTATCTGCATAATCATGATAATTACACAAGGTTGTTCTGCCTAGGCATGGGCGGGTAATGCTAGTTATTTGCTGCGATAATGCTAAAGGCAATGCTCATAATATGAGGATATAATGCCACTTATAATGCTCATACTACTGTACCATAATGCCAGTTGGAAAGTTGGAAAATCGATTTGGCCGTCTTGGATCAAGGCCAAAGCGTAGAAGAAAAATATATTTGGCTGCAGCGCATGTTGTCTGAAACAATCCACTGAGAAGGTTGATTTGCAACGTCAAGTCTCTGGACGAAGCCCGACGGGTTCAGATGCACGATTTTTCGGAACTGGACCTAGCCAGCTTCATGCATGACACCGTTGTCGACCAGCAATTATGCTTGTAATGCCATTTTAGCATGTGAAATGGTGTTATGATGCCAGCATTATGCCACCTGGAAAAAGGGACTACATGTACATGTACATGTATAATGCCAGCCATAATGCTAGCATTACCCGCCCATGCCTAGTTCTGCCATGTGTAGCACGGTCTGCCCTTCTTAGGGTATTGAGCACTAGTCTATTTCTCTTCTTCCTTTCATACAATTGTTTTCAGCACTTAAATTGTGCTCTACTCCTCCATTAATAATAATTGCAAGTTGTGTTTTGTTTACAAGCGTTTCGGAGACAGTAGTTTTAATATACACTGTAGCTACAAAGACAACTAATAGCACAGTAAGCATTTCATATAATTATGTCGACATGTATGTACATTGGAAAGGCTTTCTGTCTAAAGCCTTTCCATACTGGTGCTCGATGTTTTCAGTTTGGGGACACCAAAATTAGTGTACCGCTAAAGACACGTAGTCGACACGTTGTTGACACGTTGTTGACACTTTGTTGACACGTGACCCAATTACCGGCCTACCAAGTGCCTTTGGCGACCGCTAACAGCAACTGTGGAACAGTGCAGCGCCCTTTTTGGAGCAACGTACGAGTAGTGCCCGTGGATTATGACCCCGCGACCCCAATCTACGTGGCGGTCCGCAATTCGCTACTTCATACTGACTAGACTCGACTGGCGTCCGGCATCGTCCCGAATTTGGCCGCAATCTGCTCTCGGGACCCCTATAGGGCTCCCTGACCTGCTCCATCTCCGCCATCGTCAATGTACTGCGCATCCACCCAGGCCAGGACTGCACTTACTTACGGGAAGGAGTATTTGCAGGATGGAACCTGGGAACTGGAAGACGACGAAGAAGAAGCGTGGGAATCCGGCGGCAATGGCTGGGATGTAAGTCCAACATTGCTGGTGCTAGAGTTGCCACTGCTTGCTTATAAGGGAATCGATTATGTGTGTTGCCTTTTTGGCTTTTCCGACGTCCTCCTCCGACTGTACTCCCAGGACTGAACTTACGGGAAGGAGTGCTTCCAAGATGGGAGACGAAGAAGAAGAAGCCGCTGAATCCGGCGGCAATGGCTGGGATGTAAGTCCAACATTACTGGTGCTAGAGTTGCCACTGCTTGTTTATAAGGGATTCATGTGTGTTGCCCTTCTTTGCCTTCTCCCATGTTCTCCTCCGACTGTACTGGTGAACGCTGTCACATATGTTGCCCTTTCCAGGCAGTAGAAGGGAGTTACGGGGGGGGGGGGGGGGGGGGGGCAGCACATCCTGACATCCAGGAATGCTGGGTGGAATTATAGGCAATCTGACCTTTCCCCTTACTCCAATGATGGTGGTATGGATGGGGAGTTCTTGAACGTCCTCAGTCTGGTTAAAGTGAACTGTGCAACTCGGCAATAGCAGAGGACCAATGCCGATTCCTGTCTCTGACTTCTTCAATGTCTTCCTCAGTGTCGGACTGTCCGCGTCGCATTGAACTGGTCCGATGAGGCTGCTATTGCACACACAGTGAGGGAACTCCCATACGGGAACTCGGAAGTACTGCTACAGTACAGGTAAGGTGGCCGTTGCTTATGTGCGTGCGCCGTTGTTGTCAACTTTTAAGCCAGATGTACTCGGACCTACATGGAGTCTGAAAGTAGTCAGCTGGCGAACTAGAGGTTTAGACGTTAGATGCGCTTGGTCAGCTTTTTCAGTTTCACAATAATAGAGAGGTTCTGCTATACGTGAAACGTAGAGAAATCACGTAGAGAGCAGGTGTCTGGGTTAGAGTCTACGGCTTCGCGTGTTTTGGCTCCAGATTTCTATGCGGAGATGGGGTTCTCTACGCTCTGGCACACGCAGAGAAAATGCGTACGGATTTGCTGGGTATCGATCAACTGCATGCAGAAAACTGCCAAATATGGAAGGGGAAATCCCCAGTACACATTCCACGTGACTTCTCTAGGTGAAACGTAGAGCAGAACAGCATTTCTTTACGTTACGGGAACGCGAAGAAAGTTCGCGTGATTCTTTGCGTCGCGTACCGAAAACGTAGAGCAGAACCTCCCTAATGCATTGCACTCAGCACCGCTTCTCGGAATATCTTGTCAGGATAGCTGTGGAACGCATCCT